AGTAAAATATAAATTTTAGCAGAGACTATAGAAATAGCTGAGGAAACTGCATTCCATTGCTTCTGCATGAAACCATTTTAAAAGTCGTTCATTTTCAAATTTTCACACGTCCAAAACCACCATGTCACATGTTCAATATGAATGGTTGTTGGAAAACCATTTTCTAATGAAGAAGATGGTTTCTTTATGAGTGGTGGCCCTGGGAATGGGATAAAAAAAATAACTCAGCACCTACGAGAAGGTTTCTTTGGATGGTTAGAGACTTTAGTGTTTCCTTAACGGATAGAAAGGACTAAAGTTTCGGAAACTTTAAATATGTGTTCTTTGAATGGTTATGCAAATTTCCATAGTAGCAGGTATGTTAGTTTTCTTAGAATAACGTTATGAAGCAGTTGGATATAGGGTTCTTCTAATTGATTAATAGGGTATTTTGACACCAGTCTCGAAAATAAAAATAAATATTTTCTTTTGATAAGAATGGAATATATAAACAATTTTCTTTTAATTTTAAATAATTTTATCTAATTTTAAATAATTTATATGAAGAATCGTATATATAAACAATTTCCTTTTAATTTAAAAATAATTTTATCTAATTTTAAATAATTTATATATAGAAATTATAATAAAATATTTATTTTTATTTCTACCTCATTTTTATTATCAACTTCTACTAGAGATGTTCAGTAATTTTAAAGTTTTAGTTATTTAACCAGTGACAAGTTTAGTGAAAACAAAAAAACTTTGGTTCCCTCAAATTTTTTTAATATATATAAATTGATTTTATATAAAAAATAATTTTTAAATTTTATTATATTTTATATATTTGACATCCTCAAAATTTTTGAACATTTGAAAATCCACCACGGTTATAAATTAAATACTTAAAGAAAGAATTTAATAATAATGTTACAATTGTCATGTGATGTATAGAAATAAAAAAAATGTTAATAATAAGTAGTACATTAGATGAATGTACAAAACTATTACTTAAAATTTAAAAGAATATAATTTAATTTTTACAGTAGTGTCATTTATGTTTGATAATTAATATTTTATATTTTTTTCTTAAAAAAACTAAAATTAGAGAAAAATAACTAATTGTTAGGAAATTGCGTTGAGTATGCAAACAATTTTTTTTTCATATTTAGATAGAAATATCTAAATAATTCTTAATTTTATCTACTTGATATACTTGGCATTTTTTTAATACCAGTTTATAATACATTTTTTAAAGTATTCATCGATGTACGAATTTATCTTATAATTTAAATATACATTTTCATGTAATAATTAATAATATTTTTCAACTACAATATCATTAAAAAAGTGGTACGATAAGATTATGATCTATGATTTTAACAATAATCGAATATTATTACTATTATTTTCAGAAAGAAAAATATTTATAATTCTTTGAATGTATTTTTAGCTTATATGACATTATTTTAATGAAAGTTATTTACTAAAATTTGTATGAATAAAAATAATATTTTAATAAGATTATATTAAAAGTTATTTTTATTAGAACATTTCTAAAGTGAATTAGTATTATAGTTATTTAAGAATAAAATTATATATTTTATTATAAATATTACGTGTAAGTTCTGTAAAAGTGAAAAAAAATTACTTAACAAAATATACAAGTAATTCTAACCAAATTTTAAATAACTCAATTATAAGACTAATTTTAGTTATCTTCAAAATTTACACTTTTTATGGTGTTGGTATAATTTAAATAATATCTTAAAAAAAGTAAGGATATTTTAAATACAATTAATTTAATTACTCACAAAAAATCATATTTAATTATTAAATTGTATAAATTATTTGTACCTTTAAATGTAATATATATATATATATATATATATATATATATATATATATATATATATATATATATATATATATATTAACATGATAAAGTACTAGAACATAAGTACGCTGAGTATACATATGAATTTTGTTTGTCACATTTTTTTTTTCCAATTTATTAGATCAAATGTAAAGATACACAAAACCAAAAAATTAGTTTCATATATTAATCTAAATAAATAAATTTTTTAAGAGATGATAATATATTTTTTTAATAAAAATTTAGAAAAATATTATTTTTGGAACCATGACACCACACCACCCATCTCTTCCGTCCGTGTTTATATATGTTACATTTTTTTATATTGTTTCGCATGTCTATTTTTACTTTCGAATTATTATTTATTTTGAAATTCTCCTCCGTTATATTTAAATTATTTTTAACTTACTGAGGAATAAGAAAACATAAATATAAAATATTTAATCATTATTTCATATTATATTCAAACATCCTTTGATAATTTGAAGAGCATAAATGATGAACAAATAATAAATTAAAGTAAGATTTTATTAAGAAAGTTAAGTCTTAAAGATTTAGTGGAGTTCTGACTAAAGGATAAGAAGTGTGTTTAGTCTGTATTATTATGCAGAAGGTCTTTGTCTTAAATATTTATGTAAATGCAGAGTAACACTCTTCCTTTAACGTTTAACATGAGTCAAAAATCAAAGATGCTGTTGATTAAAAAACCAGAAAAGCCAAAGTGGTTGAAGACTTTAGACCAAAAGAAATCAACAGTCGCCAACAAATAACTCATAAGTTTCTTGGAAAGATCTAATCACATACTCAATATATAACAATGATATATAGTACTCGTTTAAATATTTTTTAATTTTTGTAAAACTGTTTTAATTTTTTAAACGAAATTAGTTATATTTTTAAAAAAAAATCTTTACAAAAATTGCAAACCTCCTGTGAGTTTATCATTTAAATTATTATATTAAATTAATATTTAATTATACATTAAGAAGAAAGTACAAACTTTGGATAATACCATCAAATAAATAAGTACTAGATGCTTTAAAAGCCTTTAAAAGTTAAACAAAACAATATTTTAATGAAATAAATATTTTTGGAATATAATTATATCATGTTAAATATTGAATTAGAATTCTATCATAAAATATTATACAACATTTTAAACAAACTTATTCTACATAGAAAATACTTTCTTTTTTACAGAGAAAAAAATGGTTGAGTAAAAGTTATTTTAATTAAGCAAAACTTGAAGTTCCAACTTACTCTCCCAATATAACATTTTTAGATAAGCTAAATACATTTGGTCATTTGAAATTTTATTTTGGCTAACAATTTTTGCCTATTTTACATACTATTATAATATTGAAAAATAATAATTAAAAAGTTATAAATTTCACCCACATGTCAACCTAAAACTCAAACCTTTCAATTTTAATATTTTCAAATCAACTTAAAATTCACGGCTCAAATCAAGATAACATTCATAATTTCATATAATTCGTCGAGTCATGAATTTAAGCTCAATTCTTGGAAATAACGTCATTTCAACTCTAAAGTCTAGAAACACGACAGAAAACACGAGTTAAATCTAGAAGGAGATTTGAATCTTTAAATTTTGTTCGCAAATGAGTATAACTTGATTTTTAAAATCGCCTAATTATAGGTAGATCAACTAAGAAACGTGTCATATGATTTTATTAAAAATTTAAAAGATGGTGTATCATTTGATTATGTATTTTCACAAGGGCAACCTTGATATTGTATGAAGCTAATGAAAATTTTAATAATAATTTTCTAATAGTTTAAAAACAATTTTTGAAAACAAATATGCAATAAATAAATATGATATTAAATAAATGAGTTATAAATAAATGAGATAGGAACAAATAAAAATATTGCACGAGCTCATTACACCCAAGTAATAAATCTAAACTCCTTTAATCTTAAATAGTTTAACTATAATTAACAATATTACACCAAAATAAGTTATTCTTAGATGAATATATTAAGGCAAATAGAAAGTTATGAACCTAAAATTCAACATTCATTCTTTATTTTTATTTCTTTTTTTTCATTCATTTTTCTTTCTTTTTCATAAAATTACATTTTTTTTCTCATTTTCTCATGCTTTTGTCTTTTTCAAACTACTTCCAATTAACATGTAATACATCAAAACCTCACATAGGAGGTAACACTTCCACACTTATCTTTAACTTATAAATTTTATAAATTTTATTTTATTTTATTTTAAGACATAGTTATGGAACACAAATATAATATTTTATTTATTGTCCATTTATCAAATTAATTTTTGAATTTAAGAGATTGTGATTTGTACATATTATTTTATTTCTATGAATGATTATAGTGATAATAATAATAGACAACGACGACAATTAGGACAACATCGAACTCGAGATATTAAAAGGTAATGAGTAGTTGTATTGATATAGTTGTTAAGAATGTAGGAAAAGAAAAATAATACTACCTATATAGTTATTTAAGATTGTAATGAAAAAATAATACTATTTGCAGTAAAAAAAATATTTTTTCTCTTAACCTGTTTGTATATTAAACTAAAAATAAAATATAAAAAAATGACATCATTTAAGCTTTTTTTTTTTTATTAGTGATTCCTTGACCCTTCTAGTTTCATCCGTTTTTAGCTAATTTATCTGATTTTTAACTAATTCATAATTTTTCTTATTTTTAGAGAGCTGGACACAGATTTTGATAACATGGTTGCGGGTCAATAATACGTGACTTATAGTGTGTTTCTCTTTGAAAACCATTACTAAACATACAATTTAAACAGAGAAGCAATAAGGGTCAGATTTGTGTGGAATGGACTTGGGGTGGTCTATTTCAAGAATGTTCCTTCCTAAACCAAAAGAATCCCCCCCATTCAAAAACACTATGCATTTGATTGAATCGAGAAAAAGAGAGGGGAACCTTAAACTCAGCTTTAAGCTCTTCACTCTCATGTCCAGTAGTGATAGATATTAAATCCTTAACCTTCCTTCTATCAAAATAACATCCTCTGTAAGAAGGAGAAATAAGACTAGTTAATCGATTTAAGAATCGGTGAAAGAGAAAAGGAAGAGAAAATAATATAGTATCAGATCAACGAGAGGAGTGGGAAAGAGCGATGAATCTAGAGTTGGCGATGGAAACACATCAGGGAGTGAAAGAAGAAGAAGTAACATCTATGCTTTTGAGGTGGAGAGCATGAAAAGGGGTGGGGCATATGAAATTATTTTGAAGGAAGAAAGTGGTGTGATAGAGTAAGAAGGATCACATAGGGTGGAGTGAAGGTCAGGTGGATTAGATGAAATTGGGGATTTAGAGAATTTGGGAACATTAGGGTTTCATAAGCTTGAAATTAGAGGTGACATGTGAAAGACCACATGAATAAACAAAATGCACATGCAAAATTTATCAAGAGAATAAATGATTTTTTTTTAAAGAAAATCAATAGTTAAAATATTTTTTATTCTAATTATTAATATTTAAACTTTTGATGAAATTATAGTTATTATAAATTTTTATTGTCTTGTTACTGAAATAACCACTTATATGATTGCCATTTAAATAAATTTTGCTTTAAATTTAAAGTTGTCTGGTTTTATAATTAAAAAACCAATAAAAAAGTTATTTTTACTAATTTTATTATTATTTACTATTATATAAATGTAATAGTAATTTTTATTACCGTTAAGTAATGATTAAATTAAAATTATTGACTTTAATTAGTCATCTCAAAATTTATTACAATCAATAAAATTATTTAAAACAAATATATAAATTTATAAATAAATCCTTATAAAATGTTTAAATTTCTATAATTTGTTTAAGTTTTTTTTTTTAAACATGTGTTCTCCTCTCTCTATATATTATAATATTATTACTATTAATAATATATATATATATATATATATATATATATATATATACGTTGAAATATAAACTCTTAACATAATTAATAATATATATATATATATATATATATATATATATATATATATATTATCAAATAATAATATATTACGTATATATTTACATACTTTTTCTTTCTATATTATATTATTAAAATGAAAACTATTCATGTATAATTCTTTCTATATATATCACATGTAAATGAATATATTTAAATTTTGAAATTTAGTTATTTAATTATAATAATACTAATTTAGTCTAGATAATATGAGAATTTCAAGAAAAAAATTGTTTAATAAAATAATAATATTTAATCACTTTTTAACTGTTAAACAAAATTATATTTTAATTTTTAGTTTCATAATTTATTTCATTCATACATTTTTTCATGACGCATTTATTTTAATTAATTAATAAATAGATACTTTTTAAGTAATTATTTAATATATAAATATTTATTAATTTAATAATTAATATATTAATATTTATTCTATTATAAATTAATATTTTAGTATTTATGAAATAAATTATGAATTAATATTTATTATTTAAATAATCAATATATTATTTATTAATTAACTATACATTAATATACTTAAATATATATATATATATATATATATATTAAATATAATAATAATTAGAATTAAATATGTATATCTTCTTATAATATATTTTATTATAAAAATTAAATATGAAAATTAAGTTAATATATTTATTAAGATTTTATTTTTATATATTTTTTATTATTTTATTTATCTATGTATTTAATGATATTAATGGTAGATAATTGTTAATTTTTTATATCTTTTAATGGATGTATCGATATAATTTTTTTCTTTTAATAACATTATATAAGTTTTTTTTAATAATATTATAGATAAATATTTTCGTTCGTAATAAATTTATCTATAAACGTAAATACGTTGGTAACTATATGTAGATAAAATAAATTTATCGACAGATATAAATTAATCAATAATTATTCGTCCATAATATAAATTTACATAAGGATATAAATTCATCGATAATTATTTATCGGTAATATAAATTTATCAATGAATTTAAATCACTAATTTATCGTTGTAATTAATAAAAAACAAAATTCAACCAATAGTTATGATACATGTATATACTATATGATTAATCTCTATGTCAAACTTTTAAAGGAGAAACATCCATGTTATCAACCTAATCTTAGCGTTGAATTTCTTTAACAAGAATTTCAATGTTATATGGTGAGAATAGATAATAATGATAGAGTTAACAAATAAGAATAAAATTTATCTAATCCAAACACAATAGTTAAAAATTCTTTTTCAATAATGATATAATTTACTTAACTTGTATCAAGTGTGAAAGAAATATAACATGAAGAATTTTATCAACCCATTTTAGGAATATAAAAAATTACTTGTTAAATAGGATCTACACCTACTAGTAGAATACGTTATAATAAAGTTAATTTTAGTGTATGTAGTACACGTGCCTATATCACAAGTGCAATAAAAAAATTATATCAATGTCTACAAATTGTGACAAGTCTAAACTTGTCCTACTCCTTGACATAAATTTGAAACTCAATCTTAATCTATACAAGACTATTTGATAAAGAATCTATTAAAATGGAACGTAAGAGTTGAAATGTGGTGATCTATTATATTTTACTAGTTAACTTCCTACCATTCATCAAAGGAATGACACTTACATGTCTAACATTCACTTATTGTTAGTATCTAATAATTGAAATAAATTGTTATTTTAGATAATTAAGTAACAAAAAATAAATGATAAGAATGAAAAATAAGTTTTTAATTCATATTTTAAGAACAAATAAATTCTTTTTATTGTAGGATGAACCTGTTTACCTGTTTTTTACAACTTTAGTTCTCACGTTTTTTTTAAGTAATTTTTTTGTAAATAGACTTAATAATAAATGATAATATAAGAATAATTGAATATAAAATTTTATAATTTTCTTATAATTTATTAAATTTATGTTTTTTTCTTTTAACATGATAAAATATAAATATTTTTTATGAAATTTTACTATTTTTTACGTAATATGTATTTATATAAGTTATGAATAATAAATAAGTGGTACTTCTTTATAAAAAAATAAAAATTTGTTTAGACTTTATGGAATGAATATAATGATGAAGTGGTCAAGTATTTTAATAAAGAAGATTTTGAATCTACATCTATTATGACAATTACGATTGTCAAAATATACTTAGCTCAATGGGCCAACCCAAAAAATAGGTTAGGTTAAGCAAAAAATTTATGATCTAAATAAAATCTGACCAATTTTGTCTCGACCTATTTAGGTCATGCTTAAATGGACTTAGGTCAGGCTAATCTTTAGGTTTATGACCTAGTCTCGTTTATAAAATAATTATTATTTTACTAATAAAATAAAGTAATATTATTTTATTAGAAAATACACGTATAATAAATTAATTTGATAATATATTTTGTTATATATATATATATATATATATATATATATATATATAATTTAGAAAGAATAATAAACTCTAAACATAATCTTTATTTGTTTTGGTAATCTTTTTCCTCTCTATTATTACCGTCACATCTTGTTTTAGAAGACCAATAATTTAAGACGACATATCCTTAAATGTATTGTATTTCCAAAGTATTATAATGTGAGGGTTATGTTGTTAACTTGTTTAAGTAATGAAAATTTGACTCTAAAATTTACCAAGATACACTTGCTAAATGCACTATTAAACATGATATTCAATTTAACTATGTTGAGTATGATATGAGAGAGTTTGGGAGGTAAATAAAATGTTGAATCCTTATTTCAAACTAATTACTATAAATACTTCAATTACGAGTTTATAACATGTATTTAACAAAAAAAAAGCTAGAAGACGCGTTATCTAATATTTCCGGTAAAATATTTTAAACTAATTACTAAAATCACTTCAATTACAGATGTTTATACTAATTACTAAAATCACTTCAATTACAGATGTTTATAATGTGTATTTATTTGAAAAGAAAAAGTTCAAATATGTGTTATATAATATTTTTGTTAGGACATGTATTTAACTCAAAGGCTACATCCTCATTTTTATAATTTTATTTTGTCTGAATAAGTTATGAGTTAATTTTAAATGAATAAATAAATAAATGACATATTTTTTTTAAATTATATAAATAAAAAAATTATTTTTAATTAGACAAAAAATGACTCATTAGCATGTTAACCTAGGGTTAGACTAGGCCAAATTTTTTAGTCCATTTTTTTAAAATATAGGTCAGGATAAGTTAGTAATTTTCTTTTACTTAATCCATATGTCTAGATAAGTGAGGCTGGACTGCAAATGACCCTAGTGACAATGCTAAAAAAAAAAATCATTTTACTAATATTAAATTTCATCTTTCAATTCAATGTAACTTTAATCAACATCATGCATGAATAACAATTAGAAACAAATTCACCATGAGAAGCTTTCGTTTTGTCCTTGAACTAAATATGCAACAAAAATTTATTTTGACTGTATTTGAACCAAATATACAACTGAACAAAATTTCATATGTATTTGCACTATCTGCAATGCATAATATAAATAAGTTTCCATCAAATATTAAAAAAAAAATCAGTTACAAATCTCTGGAGATTGAGAGAGTTATTCTTTAAAAGAAATGGAGGCTGAAGAACGTTTAAAGGTTAAGGGTTTAATAGTGGGATCAGGTGGGATGTTTTAGTTTTTTCAACAAAAGCTAAAATGAGGGAACTGAATAGTAATTTTACGGGTGTAAATAGCATGGGCTTTTGGAGTACAAAAAATGACCCATGCATTAAAAACACTTTTGTTAGTTTTATAAAACTAGTGATCCGGAAACATATTTTAAAGTATCTTAAATTGAGAAATCCACAAAAATGTTGAATGTGTAAATATAAAAATATATAATTTTTTAAAGTTTCATATTATGAAATTTGGAACATAATCTTATAATTCTACAAAAATCAATCTCAAAAAATATCTGAAAATCAAAAATTAATTTGGTATTCCAACTTTAAAATAAAAATTATGTAATTATAGTTATTTTTTATACTCACAATTAACGCTTAATTGTAGTTTTTTTATTTTTAATAAATTTCATAAAAGGATTAAATATGATTTTAATAATTTTGTACCTATTTTAATACTTAGTAAAAAAATTCTATTATAAAATTAATTAAAAGACTAAATTTATATATACATATATTAATTTTAAAACTAATTTGTTAATTATTAATATATAAAAACTGAAACCTTTTTTTAAATACAAAGATAACAAATATATTAAACCCCAATACGAGAGAATAAGATTATTTCTCTAATTTAATCATGGAGACTATAACTATCATTGACATGACATCAATCTTTTAACTGCTTTAAATTAATCTCATCTTAAAAGATTCTGTGTATCTAACTTGATAAAATGTTATATAATTTCATGTTATTTACTTTCATTAGACTAATTATACTATTAGAATAAAATATCATCAAGTCTAATCACTGCATAATGATAATAATATTAATTTTTATATTATTTTTGTTTAGTTAAATTTATTTATTAAATTCTTAAAATATATTTATTTAATGTAAGAAACGTTTTATATTCAATTAACATTTAGTTAACTTATTTATTCAATTAATATTTATTTAAATAAAATATATATTATTACAATTTTATCTACACTCCCACCAAACCCAAAACCAAATACTACCGCACCTCTCTCAAGCCCAAATTGAGCCCACAGATGCAACCTCTTCATCCCAATTTCCTACAATCCTTCAACCCTAATCCGTGTATTGTCCCTCATTTCATCTTCGAACAGAAACCTTAACCCTCTTCCTCACTCCCCGCCTTCTTTCATCGTGCCTCCAACCTGCACCGCCAACGCTTTCTCCCTCCCGCTCCCAACCCGCACACCCAACGACATCCACAAAATCTTCAACACACACGACCTTCGTGACGTCGCATAGTTCAAGCCAACCACTTCATCACTGACTCTCAAATCTACGAGAGAGTGGTTCTTGGACACAAGGGAAAATCTTCAAAGGTAGAGAGTGGATCGAATTTTTGTTTGTTTACAATTCCTTGGTTTTACTGATAATTGTACGTCAATTTTATTTTGGCATATTTTTTAGAACCATTTTTTGTCCAAGTTATATTAGAGACACGGATGAATTTCTTGGATTATGTCATATTCTCATCTTGGATAATTTGCGTAATTAGTGTAAATTGATGTGTGGACACCTATCTATTTTTTGTTTTTTAAATACTTTAGTGTCGGTCTGACAACGTAAATAAATAAATTTATTTCATATTTATTTTTAAACTTAGGATCGAAAAGCCGAAACAATGAAATGTTTGTTTGTTTTTTACCGTCGGTGGTTTTGTTGGCGTAAATCGACATCAACAGCCAGAGATTGTATATATACAATGACGAAAATTTTGTTGACTTATTTGTTGTCTTTTTCGTTTACTCACTATAAAGCCAGAGATTGTATTTAAAGGCATAATTCAATGCCTCAGGTGTACTCATCAATTCCATTGTGTATATGTAATGGATTAGTTCACTTTCGTGCAGTTGACACGAACTTCACCTTGATCCCCAGTGAGAGGCTGAATACTTCCCATCTTAATCATGGAAAGCGCAAAGTCCTCGAAGAAAGCTACGGCATCGGAGCTGTACTGTTGAACCAGAGCATCAGTAGAAGCACCACTGAAGAGTTGTTGATCAGAGTGAAGAAGGCCTTTGTTTTGAACCAAATTGGAGAAATAGGATGTGTCAAAGTTGGCGGGAGTAGGGTCCAAAGCGGCAAGGTTGAAGTCACCACCAATTATAGGGCAAATGGATTCCAGTTCTGATTGTGCAAAGTCTGGATCGATGTTGGAGTCATTGTAGACATGGTCCCTAAATGTAGCACAACGTGCATATCCAATGGTGTGAGCTCCAGAAAGAACGACAAGATCCATCTCATCAAGACCATGGCTCTTGAAGTTGGTGATGAGTTGAGAGAGGTTGGAAAATGGTGATGCAATGTTTGCATCTGATGCTGCAGGACTTGCTGTGGTTGAGTCTCTTCTCCCCAACTCCACCTCCCATGTTGGACCACCCAACTGCATCAAAATAAGTTCGCGTCAAAACTTTAAGGATATGTAATCAATTTGGGCTTACTCTCATCAGAGTGTTATCACTCACTGCAACAACCGAGTCTCGAGCAGCAACAGCCAAAATGTCAGCGCAAGAAACAACTGATTGTCCACATGCTTCATTCACTGCCTCCTTTATCTCATCCACAATGTCAAATCCTCGAGCGTATTGGATAGCTTTTGCATTCTTTTCACTGTCAATGAAGGATGTAGAATCTAACAGAATCGAACCATCACACCCCTTGACAAAACCAAGTAAAATTTATTAGACTCACAACGTTACATAATCTAAATATTAATCCCTACATATCAAATGATGGAGATGGTGTTTTAGGCCAGCATCAAACAAACATAAACTTAGATACATGTTATGCTTGAATGCATTCAAAAGCTTCAAATTTAATTGAGAAACAGTATAGATATTTATATGCAGAGAAGAACAGAAAATCTCACATTGTGAAAGCAATCAAGAAAATGTAAGCGTAACAATGAAGCTCCCATGCGAAACTCCTTCTGTACTGCAGCCTGAACCACAGTTTTGATGGTGATCAAAGCATTGGGGCAAGAGTCATCATAGTAATTAGTTGTCAAGTGTGGGACATTTGAGGTTGCAAGAGCCACAACCACCAGAGCATTCACAACAAAAGAGAAATAGAAACACCCGGGCAATGCCATACACAAACCTCCACCTTTGAGAATGACTAGTCTTGTATTTATGTACTCAACAACTTGTTAATATCCAGCTAATTAAAAACGTAAGAATATAGTATGTTACACGTATTCTTTTGAACCATCGGATTTTACACAAAAGAAAAAAGGTAGAATTCTTTTTCTTAGACATGGAGGTTTCGGTTCCTTTATTCCTTCCATTCGTTCCTTTTTTTTCAACTTTTCTCTTCACTTAAAATTTCAACCTCCAATTTCTTTAATGCTTCGCTTTTATTTTGTTCCATTTTTTCATCTCAAAATTTCAACCTTTTTATTTTTCATCTTCAAATCTCGACCGTCCGTTTTCCCACCCACTTGCCTAAAATCTCTTGTATCGTGGATTCGTTGTTCATCGGCAATGAGTTTGAATGAATGGGTCCATTTCCACGTACAGAATTTTTTCTACAATGACAGCAGAACATTTTTTTTTTCTGGTTCAGAGATAGCCACGTTAAAAGTTCTTAAAAGTTAGGTTAAATAAGATCTTATTTTCCCATTTTTCATATTTAGTCTCCGTATGTTAAATTTAATAATTTTATTCACTTTTTAAGCAATAATAAATTGTTAGCATATTCTAATCAAGCTATTTAAATGTGTCACATTTAATTAATAATATTAATTAAAAATATAAACCTTTTCATTTAATTTTAAATTAAATAAAATGAACCTGAAAAACTTCACCAATATATAAAATCAGATGAGAAAATGAGAAAAAGAAAAAAGATTTTCATTTTAGAGATAGTATTTATTCTGGTGCTTAAGAAGAAGAACCAAATAATTCCATATACTGTGTCTAGTTTTAGTAACTATATTCTAATAAGTTTCGGTTTTTGGAAAGGTGGTAGCATAATAACACGCAACAACTTGATGGCGACACATTTATATTCTATTACCCCTACCTCTTATTAAATTTATACACGAAAAAACATTTTTTCAAATATTATTTCCCCTAAAATACACTTTTATTATATCAAGGTATATTTTAAATATTTTATTTATTTAATATGTTTTTTTTTTTTGAAAATTTAGTATAATTTATGTAATTAACATGATTAATTGATTTTTATAATTTATGTGAAATTGTTTTTTTTATATAAATAAGTATGGTAAATATCATATACAAATTTTAAAACTGATTAATAATTTTATTACTTTAAGTATATATTGTTTCGATTAATCCTTAAATATTATTGAAAAAATAAATAATATCTAAAAGTAATTTTAATATTTTATACTTTTAAATAAATATTTATTTAATATTATTAAAATATAATTTAATCCATAAAGGTTATATTTGTTATAATTTATAAAGATTAAATTATATTAATAATAATATGTAAAGACTTATGAAATAAAATAAATAAATAAATAATACACAAACTTTTAAAAAATAAATATTCTATTTAAATTTTAAAAAAGATATATTAACATTCATTAAAAAAACATTTAAATAATTTGTATGGAAAAAGAATATAAATTTTATAATGAGTATGATATGATAGAAAAGAAGAAATATATGGAAAAACTAGAGAATGAAGAGACTATTAGAAAGATGATATATATATATATATATATATATATATATATATATATATATATATATATATATATATATATATATATATATAGTATTATTCTAAATTTAAACAAAAATTTATGAAAAAGATGAATAGATGAGATGGAAAAAAGGAATTCAAACTCTCCGTGTTGCTACTTTTATAAAGTTTGTATGCCATGAAATCTGTTACTTTTGATTGTGCCCACACCACCACACTAATCTCTTACTACCTTTCATTATGGTCAAAGCACACTTCTTTTTCGTTATTATAATATATATTACTTTTTTTCATATCAAATGATATTTTTTGCTTCTCTTGGATTTTTTTTTCTTACATTACATTATAAGGATTCTACATTAAATTTAACATAAAAGTACCAAAATAATAATGTAATTCTACATCACATTTAACCGAAAAATACCAAAATAAACTAAATTAATAACATTTGTATTATTTGCTTCCTTCTAGAAGTACAATCACCATAATTTAAAAAAAAAAACTAAATATAATAATCTTAAATGAACTCATATTCATAATTAACCTCATATCATTACCTTAAATAATTTAAAAATTCTATATATAATTCAATTTTCTCATTTTAACTATATCATTTATAAATATCATATCACCTTATTAAAGATAAAATTTCACTCCTCTAATAAATATATACATCATCTCACATATAGGTCTTTCTAGACATTAAATAATAAATAATATTTTTAACAACTCTTGAAAGAGTGGATAAAATTTATTTTCAAAGACTAACACATGATATATTTGTCCAATAAATGTAATACATCTCATTTTCAACAAAATAACAACATCATCATCTGAAATTTGCATTTAATATGTTAATTTCTATAATACATATATTGAGTAGTCAATGACAAAATTTTATCATTGATTAGATAATAAAAACTTGAACTTAGATATGTTAAAATAGACTTAATCTTATAAGTTGACTTGAAATATACGAGAAATGGGTTAGCCTACATCAATTTGTTACCTAAATTGAATGATGTTAATCTTAGTTTAGGTCATTTAGGTCGTGCCCTAACTAGGCTTAGCCTATGTTAGTTTGTAGATTTATAGGTTGACTCATTTTATAAATAATTTTTAAATAAAAATGTATTATTTTATTAATATACATGTTGTATTATAATAATTTGATAAGTGATACATTCACTCCAAGAATAAAAGTCATAGACTTACATTTCATTTTCAACATTATTCTTTTTATAGTATAATGGTTAAAGTAAATTATTATTTTAGATCCTAAATGACTAAAAAATAAATGGTACGAATGAAGAGTAAGTTTTTATCTCTCTTTGGATGAATTAATCATTCCTTACTTTGAAAAAGGGTTGACTTATTTTTAAGAGTAAAAGTTAGAGACTTATTTCTTATCTTTATTATTAATTATCATATAATCTGATGACTATAATTAATTACTATTTTAGATAATTAAATTATTAAAACATGAAAAGGTGAGTATGAAGAGTAAGCTTTTAATTGTACTCATAAATTGAGTGGGTCTCTTCTTGTAAAATTTATATATTAAAGTAAATTAACTTTATTAATATAACTTACTTTTTTTATATTTTACATTTTATTTAAAATTATTTTTTATCTTTTTGTTTTATATAGACATGTTTTAATTTTTTATTTTAATTTTCAATTAGGGGAAAAGTTATCCATTAGCCTAATACAGGGTTTATTTGGTAAAAAAATTATAATTTATTTTAAAATAGAAGTCATGATGGACCATTGATTTTATCTTCTTTATTTTTTTTTTTGCTCATAAGGCCAAACCAAGATGGTTAGGCATGTTAGCAAATATTGGGTCATGTATATATATGATACATAATTTAAATGTGTTAGGGTAATTATTTATTAAGCCAAATAATAAAGTGATCTGACTAAATTAAAGTTTTGGCTAAAGGCATATGTCATGAAAATAAAATTGTGTAGAGACCATAGAGCAATTTCTAATTTGATGAGGGGACAAATTGGAAATACTAAAACTTAAGTAATTAACCTAATTATTGTTATTTAAAGGGTCATGGTCCCCTTCTGGGAGCACACAGAACGTAAGTTTCAGTCCCGTTCTTTTCTTTCTATCCCCATCAAGAGAGAAAATACAGAGGAAAAATACAAGTGCTCTCCAGGTGGAAGACCATAAGATCAATAGTGCTCTACAAAGGATATCATCATTATGGCTAATTCAGGTACGCTTTCACATTCAGTTTACAACATGATTATGAGTATGTGATTATATTTATGTTTGATAGTTAAAATCAAAATCAAGATCATAACAGTGAATTACTAACAATTAGTATCAGAGCCAGCCCATTCTCGATTCATGTTTGTCTTTGGAAATTAAATTTAACAAAATTTAGATTATATTTAAATTAAGAACCTAGTTGGAGTATAATCTAAAATTTTCTTAAACCCTAAATTCAATTTTGGGGTTAAATCTCCTTGTTGTCTCTCCGCTTCGCAACCACAAAACAAAACCTTTGTAGGAGTCTTGCTCGTGCAAGAATAACACCCACAGGTAGTCTCTTGCTAATAATCCCTTTGTACACTGCCTCTAACATTTTAGTAAGAATCAAAGCTGTCATTTACGAAAGACCGTCGGTACCTCCTCCCATTGATTCTAATTAAGATGCACGCTCTGGGTGGTGACGGAGGCGTCGGACATGGTAGTGGCGATGGAGAGAATCGGCAGCGTGGAGTTGTGTGTTGAACCCTAGATCGAGAGCATTTCGTCCCAATCAATGCCTTCTGGTGTAATAGCTCCGAAGCACTCGTCATACACAGCAGATCACAATTCAACAACGATTCATTTTCCCCTTCTGCGAATGCACCTTCGTATTTTGGATTTTCTGCATGTCTGTGGAGGTGCATTCTGCAGCAGCGGTGTTTCGATCGCAACGACGGGCTTCCTCCATCAACGGTGGTTTCGTCTTCTCGCAAGGGGCCTCGCGTAGGTGGTCCGTGAGATCTATTGGTGGCAGTGGTTTCGTAGTGGACACAGTCATAGGGTTGCTCGCGACGACATGGGGAAGCGTCGGAGAGGTTTGAACAGCGGTGGCTTGGGCCTCTGGTTCATGTACAGGGTCATGGCTTCTCACGATGGCTCTCAATTTGGTTCTGAGGCAATGACGTTGGTCCTCTTCGCTGCTGGCCTGGCGGATTGTGCCCATCTAGATCAAGAGATGACACAGACGTGGGAAAATTTATTGTGCAAATACCACATATTAAGCAAGTGAAGGGGTTGCCAGAAAGTTGTTTGATGAAATGCCTGAGAGAGATTAAGAGAGATTATGTTGCGTGGAACACGATGATTGTAGGGTATGCGTAGTGTGGAAAGCCAAAGGAGGCGTTGGATATGTTCCATTTGAT